AAAAAGAGGCATCCCACTCCGGTTTAAAGAAAAATTCAACAAGCATAAATCTGTGGGGCTCTTATCCAAAACTGTGCTATATATAACCTTCAATTACAAAGAAATATAGCTGCTGGGGTCTTAAAGTGAAGAATCTGAAACTACATAAAACAAAAATCTGTTGCAGCAAAACTGAGAGTCGTGTTCCATAATCAGTCACTGTTGTTTGGACAACCGAAAGACACTGTTCTTTTTACCACCTCTGTGTACGTACATCAGTTCACATTCTGCTTTAGAGTTAGGCATATTAGTCGTCTTATGCGTGTTCTGTCACGAATATGTAGAATTAGATCTTAGGAATTATTAAAAAGACGGTTACAGAGAAGAAAATTTTCTTTTCAATGAAATCACTAACTAGGCTGTACATTCGTGTATATGTAATAAATCGGTGGGAAAGTTCCAGAATAATTTCCGTTCAAGGGTCAAATTAATAAAATCACAATTAAGAATTAACGTCCCCCTGTTTATTATGGCATTTTAATTCCTAATTGTAATTTTATAAACTTGACCCTATACTGGGAACTATTCTGGAACTTTCCCACCCATTTATTACATATACACGAATGTGCAGCCCAGTCGGTGTCTTCGTCGAAAAGAAAATTTTCTTCTCTGTAACCGTCTTTTTAAGAATTACATCTGTAAGAGTTGCGAAAACTGATTGTTTCCTCGAAACTGATCATCTTATCTCGATAAACTTGTCTTTCAGTGTTATTTACGATATGAAAAGTAACTTTCAGAGTTATTGCGTATTTGCCTCCTTTGTGATGCTGGACATTTTTTTACCTTCACGTTCCCCAGTGGGACATAGGGCTTCAAGCTAGAAGCTTCGGTAGCAGTGTTTATTTTTACAGGATGGGGTTGCCCAACCTTTCCTCTTTACCAGCATAATTTCTGGCTTATCAAGGCAAAGGAGTGCGTCTGTGGCCGGGATCGAACCCCGGACCATGTGCATGGTAGTCGAGTGTCGTAACCGCTATGCTGGACATTTGGCCATCCAAAAAGAGAAGCTAGATTTCAAATCCTTATCCTTGCATAGTCCTAATCATTCAGCGTCTACATAGCATCTTTTTTCTTCGCTCATTCCATGTAATTCTTTGGAAACGTCAATAGTTTCTAGCCAATTCGGATAGCAGTTCATTCTATCAGTAATCTCATTATTTACTCTCTAGTCTTAGGACTGTTGATTTTGCTTGCTTGTTACCATGTATTTCAATGAAAAAGTTATTGAACATATTCATCAAACTAAATTATGTAAAATTACAAGTGAATATGTGTGCTGAATGAAATATCAAGAAAGAGGAATCTTTTTGTTTAATATTGTCTTTTTTCTTTGAATGCCCTTATAGGGACCTCACTTGAACCTTCACATTATAGATGCTGATATAGTGAATCAAGTCAAGTATTACCAATTTTATCAACCATTCCTGATAATTGGTGCTTAATTATTAAGATATTCACCTTGAAACGTTTGTTATATATATATATACTGAAAAACTAATGCAAAATCAATGAAGTTTAGCTTTATATGCCCCGTGCGCAAACGAGAATATGTAAAATCACAAACAGAATGACTTTTACTTTCTTTTAACAAACAAAAGCCATTTTAATCAAATAATTCGTTGAGTAAAAAGCAATTTTATATATGAAATGATTTTCTGTTTTAATCAGTTTTCACAGGATAACTTAGATGATCTATATAAATATAAAAGACTAGTATCTCATAGTTTAAAAATTTGCATGGCTTACTGATTTCATCACAGTGACGTCTTACACGGCAGAGTTATGGAATGCATTAAATAGAAGCTGATCAAGTTTTGAAAGTATTCAGGAGTATTAATTTTATGAAGGTCTTAAGCACCACCTATTCACATTGAAATAGAAATTTCGTGTGAATCAAATGGATCTCATGTTTGACATCTTTGTAAACACATTTCAGCTAGGGGACATGGTGGGAAACTGGTGGTGCTATGCATCTGTTTCACTACAGTTAGGGTTTCTTCTAAATTGTACCATTTATGTTGGTGAAAAATGTGCCAATTAAAAATTTACCATAAGAAATTTTGATTGAGATAATACTAATACTCCAAAATAGGTTTACTGTCAACTCATTTTAACGGCCGAATATATTATAGTCCTACTCGACATTATTTGACGCATCATTTTTTTATCACATCTTGTTGCAAGTATCTGTATTCATAACACAGATAATTCAGGTTCTAGGTCACATGGTAAAACTAGTAGACCAGTGAAATTTATCGTCGTTACTGTGTGAGTTGAGTTAAGCTCACAACAATCCACTTAAAAGTTAAAGTTATCTTTGTAACGAATATTGACTTAGGAAGCTTTTCGAAAATGCTGCAATAAGTGCAATAAGTTTGTAAATACCGTCAAGTTACTTTCATTTACTTACCAGTAACACTTTAGTGACGTGTGTAGTTAACACCTGTCCTTGTATTTAAAGGAAATTTGTTATAAGGGGTGTTTAGATGAATAATCAGTTGGTTGGCTTTTGAAAATTGGACAGATAAAGTTTTCAACAATTTATTTTATTTTTAGATAGTGAAGATGAAATGAGCCCCTTTAACTGTCATCCTTGCTTTGAAATGCTTTCATCAACTATGATTCAGTAATAACCTGTTCACTAAGAGGAACCAGAAAAATTTAAATACACTAAATAAATAAGTATGCTTAGCGTTATTCTTCGTAAATATTTTAAATTTTTCTTTAGCTAAATTATCCTAATAAATCATAAATATTCTTACTGCATTTAAGTACAGCATATAGAATTCATCTTTATTGATCGTTGTGACTAATTAAACTGTTTTAGATGTGGTTCGCTTTTGTGTACTCGCCTACCTACTCATAAATGCTCTCACATGAAAATGCAAGCAGACAAAGAAACATAGAGGCATGCACACATATCCACGTAGGTAATACCAGCATAGAAACATCAATCAATAACCACTATGCAAAAAGCTACAAATAATAGACTCATAAGCAAGCTACACGTGAATCATGTGAGTGTAAGCAGTTATTATGTATGCATGCCAAGTTTCCTTAAATGTGTCTATCAGTGTGCTCTTGAAATAAAGTAAGACACACAATAAAATGAAAGGAATTTTTGACACTTTTAGTAACAGCTTAAAATTTAAACGTTGGTCTTTGTGCTAAATAATTCTGTATAAACAGATACTGGAAACTGTGAGGTAGATAACAACTGTGTTAGTCTACTCTCAAACTATTCACCTGTAATTATTTAAAACTCTGAAGCACACAGTTGTCCAGTTGGCCTGATGACATCTGTAACTTTAACTTGTGTTTCCAGTTCCACTGAACAGTTGTTTTCGCACATTTACTAGATAATTGGGCAGCTTTTAGGAAACTAAACTGTTTCATTGCATTTTGTTGCTATACCATAATTGAATTTTAAAGAACTGTTTTTACTTTCAGTTTTACTTTTGAATCTGTAAAACTGGTTACATGTTAAGAATTCCATTCTTATGAATACAGTTTGATATCTGCTGGATTGGTGAGTGGTTGGACAGTGCAGCATTTTCAAACAACAAGGATTCCTAAGTTAATGTTGTAGAGTTACGTAGTGTAGCACACTGGCATAGTGACTGCTATTCCTTACTTCTCTCTGATGCAAGATGGTCCTTTATTGTCATCTTTCACTTGGTGCACTGATCTAATGAAACAATTTCATGTCCATGAAATACCGAATAACCTAAAAGTGTAATGTATCCTGTATGTGCTATGTTAGTTTCCTAACACACACACACACACACACACACACACACTGTCTCAAAACTTCCCAGCTCAATAAAAGATATGATATAGACGTGTCTACTTTTTTGTTTATAAAAATAGGACACTTTCAGAAATGTTTAATCAAATTCCCCTCATGAAAAATAGCAATAATCACTTATTTATATCAAACTAATTCAAAAGAAAATAAGAAACGCTTTCATTTACTTGTTTTTTCGGGAAACACGTGACTAAGCTTGGATGTAAGCATCAGAAACAGTAGACCGTCAGAGATTTTTAGTAAACTTATTGTTGCATACTATTACGCTATCTTTATGATATTTGCATGACTGTATTACGCTGCCACTGAATAAAACATAGTTTATTGTTTTAAAAAAAGCATACCGGTTACATCCAATGCAATACAAAATTTTTTCAGTACATTCATAAGACTACTTGACATATTCTCAAGTATAACAAGTAAAACCATGTAAAATGCAATATTTTGTGCGGTTATAAGTGTGGTTATTTTAAACCGAAAAATTTTTATCTAGTTAACCTACTTTTCACCAGAAGTCAATGCAAAGAAATATTTTATGTTCCTCTTCTCCAATACTTAAATTTGACCTTCATTGCAGCTTTCTTGTTAAACTCGACTTGAATCTAGTTTTCCTTTCCTATTTTGAAGTTAATCACTGTCGGTATTCTAACGAAACCTAAAGACATTCAATTATTTTATTAATTTATTCTGTTTAACAGGAGAAATCCTTTTGTTTGAAGCATTGTTGAAAGACTTTTTAAGTAGACTGGTTACTGTAAAATAAGCAACACAGGACCTCTTGTTTTTAAAAGTAATTATTCTTTGTTGAATAATGTACCCTAGGCTATCTAGAAATTTATAGTTCATTCACCCTTCATCACATTTTTCTGACTAAACACCCTATACACATTTAATTGCCTATGCTAACTAATGGACTATCATCTCAACTTACACATGCACCCCAATACAGTTTCTGATATTATTTTCATTTGCCTTTATTGGCTGGCTATATGTACTCTATTATTCATGGATTTATAACTGTAGAGCCTGAAGAAGAAGTTATCAAAAACAATTGTTCGCTCAAAATCTTGTTTTAATTTAATATAAATTGACTAACACTGTACTTAAGAATTGCCACTTGCTTATACATATGTCTTGTTTTTTCTTACTTTAGCTGATGGATCAGATCCAGATCTGAGTTTCTTAAAATCAATTCAAGAAATATCAGGCTACCTGATAATTATGCATTCGAATGTTAACCGTATTCCTTTATCGAATCTACGTGTTATAAGAGCTAATAATGGCGGGTATAAAATACATGACGATTTAGATCCAGCAGCGCTGATCATACGAAAAAATTACAAAGATGGGGAAACTTTGAAGCACGTGGACTTGCGCAATCTAAAGTGTAAGTGTTTTTCACTTGTTCTCTCAAATTTCGAAGTGACTGTATATATATATACATATGTTCCTCCCCAAGTGATAGTTATCGCCCCTTGGTTTGTATTTTTTTGAAGTTTGATCACACACTGAAATCATTCAGAGGACCACTGAGAACCAGAAAGTACTGGAAGCCTGTTTTATTCTAGTTTGGGCCCCTTTGGCAATACGCCCCCATAATCCCTCTAGGGATTAAACCTTAGACTTTCAGATCACGAGGCGAGCTCATTGACCATCCAGCCTCTAGAACGAAATCCAGTAGCCTATGAATTTTAACTTCTATCATTTAGCGATTTTTAGCTGCACAGCGATATCTCATTATCAATTTTCACTCATTAGTTGATTTCAAAAATGTATATTTTACAGTTTGAATATTATCAATTGGGGTGACATGCAGATTAAACTGGTGTACTACCCGTAATGTCCTTTGAATGTTTCCTCAGCGTATGTCCGATGCACGTCCATTTCCGTCTACATATTTATTCGGCGATTGGTTCTTCGGGTTTGATCTGCCAGTTATAAAAATGTACATTTATTACCGTTTCTTTGGCTAACTATGCTAGTGAAACGGTAATATGCATCAGTTTTCATCGACTATTGTTCTTACACTCAAGGCTTTTTATGAAGCATTAAAAAACAGTATTTATAATCACAGTTGTACAGTCACTAAGATGCATAAGTCAGTTTTGTAAATTAACTGGGAATGGTGTCACATGTCAAAACAAAAGGTTACAGTAAAGAGGCAAACGGAATTCTTTTTACATATGATAAATGTGAGTGAGTGCTGTAGATATACATAAGTGAACTGTCAAGTTAATTACTTAGATTTTAAAAATTGGCTACACGATGATGGCTGATGGAAATGAACTGTATATAAGTATGGGAAACGAATAAATTTAGCAGACATCGACGAAGTTGTATGAACTTTTTTTTGAGAAATGCTTCTGATTTTATGATCTACATAATTTTCTTTATTTTCTGTAATTTTTCATCCAGTTTAACTTAATTTGGTTGGCAGAACAATAAATATTATCTTTCCTCATTATGGTTATTTTCATATGAATTGGTAACTGGATAGTGGCCTTGTTAACCGTTTAGCTCTTACTGAATCAGCTGAAATGTATAGATAAGGTGTGCGGTATTGTGATTTAAAACTTATGCACTATCTTCAGTGTTTTAATTTGATAACAGACGTCTGGATTTTTTTAAAAGACACGAGACTACAGACTTAAACTGACACGTAGTGTAGGTGTATTATGATAACTGTGGAAACAACAAAACCAGTTATATCCTCGGAGCCATTGTTGATCATGTATTATTCAGTACTTTATTATAGAAACAGACATGTAAAACCATAAAACTATACTGTTCCCTTTTAAAAGGCACAAGAATATTGTATAGAAAATGTTTACACATAATGGCTGGCTGGATACATCTATTGTTCTGCAAGCGTAAGAATGCGAAACGTCAAATACACTTCCAGTGACGATCCTATAAGTAATCATTTAACATGTAAAAACGTGTTCTACCCTTATTCATTTTCTTTGAGTCTAATTATACCTATAAATAGTATAAAAAACAAACAATATGAAGGTCATTTAGTCAAATCAGAAATAACAATATTAAACAAACATTGTTTTTAATATTCTGTAACTTATGAACTTTAATTCAGCATGAATAGTTTTAACACTTGCTAGTTAGTTATAGATAAGCACTCACTTGATAGGCCAGAACTGTACAATGAGTGAACAGTTATTTTATGTATCTGAATTAAATCCAAATCGTACTTAAATAGGTTAAGTCAACTCTAAAGGAATCGCCTAGATCCTTCTACTTTTCGATAGCTAGTCATACATACTACTGGAAATACTTGCAAATAAAGGAAGTTAGTGTAGCTGCAGAAATTCAATCATAGTTTGTCCTTCAAATTATAAATTTCTTATTTTAATGTTTGATGAATATTCACATATTGGTGTAAAATATTATCCTTTCCAAATATACTGGTCAAGTATGATTTCATCAGTGCTAAAGAGCATATAAACATCCCGAAACACCATTTGTATACTTGAATAGATCTGGTTCATATGGGGTAAAATAATAATCACTCAATTGACTACCTACATGTATTTTAGTGAAGGTTAGCTGTGAAATTAGTGACAATGAATCTTCATCCCACTTTTGTTTTACTGGACTACCGAACCCTACACATATATAGTATCAAAATAGCAATAAGAAGCTCTGGGAACGAATGGATCAAGAACCTATTACTCAGTAAATATGGAGAAGAAAATGGAAATAGATCGGACACACTCTGAGGAGATCATTGGGGGAAATCGCACGACAGACCCTCGAGTGGGGAACGACGAGTTGGGCGTTGACCAAAGGGTGACATGAAGAAAATCGTATGAGGAGGAGATGAAAGCTCATGAGCAATCATTGAGCCGAATGAAGAGGACAGGAAAAAATGGAGATGTGCTGTTGAAGCCGTATGTCCCACTCGGAACCTAAGGGAATAATAAATATAGAAGGAAACATTATTACCAAAAGCTGATCTACCGGTAACAGCAGTAAGGCTAAAAACAAGAAAACTCTTCACTCTAATGACGTCTATCTGGCAGATGTAAATGTTATCTAAGTGATTTTGTTGGTCACTTACTAGTTTACTGCTTAAACGAGAACAGTTCATCATAAAAATAGTGCAAGGCATTAGCAGAAGACTACTAAATTTGAATGTGCGTCAGTGAAGGTATCGAGATTTATAATATGTTGGGTTCATTACAATGCTATTCATTACAAAAGAAAGGTAGCGACCCTGAGGTAAATTTCATATCATTCTTTTGTTTAAGAAACATGAAGTGGCAAATGTGATTTTATTGCATGGAGGATTTAATCATGAGCTGACATCAGTTAGAGAACCACTGGAAAACCTGGGAGTACTGGACAGCTGTTTCGTCCCAAACTAGGACGAAACAGCTGTCCAGTACTCCCAGGTTTTCCAGTGGTTCTCTAACTGATGTCAGCTCATGATTAAATCCTCCATGCAATCAAACAAAATCCCTACAAAACCAATGCTTGAAAATGTGATTTTAACTTACTTAACACAGTGTGAGTCGATTCTGTCATCTCATCAACACCATCTTAGCTACTCACTTGAAGATATTTTGTGGTAGGAATAAGGTGAGTGATATAAAATAGTGGCTGACTAATTAAGTAAACAGAGACTTAGCTGTACATCACAGCTTACTCTTAACAATCTGTCATGTAGAAAACATTGTGTCTCACAGATTGCAACCACAACCTTAATTTTGTGTTTTGATTCATAAATGCTTTCATGTTTAATACTTAAGATATCGAATTCGCTATACAGACATATGGTGTTTGCAACATTTTTTTCAAAATAACAACTAGTACAAATTTACTTGCTACAATCAAAAGTACAGCTTCAGTTTTAAATAGACCTTTCACAGCAGGCTGCTTTAATAACACGGCATATTAATAGAAATTCAAAGCCAGTTTGACAAAAATCGAACCTACACATGCAATTATTATTTGATACAAATGTTTATCCCATTGTTTCTTATTTATTGTTGGAGGAATAACAGCAAGGTAGCACATGAATCTCTCTCGTCACTTGAAAGAAACTGACAGATTACTGTTGAAGAATAGAATAAACAATAGAGCTGTAAATAATTTTATTGCAAGACTGATTTACCATTTCTAAGTTTTGTAGACAAATAAATGTATATGTGAGTTGAATAAAGTTTTCCCTTAAAGTGTAGGACTTAGAAATTGTGACTTGTTGTCCACAAACTTCTTCCAACTTTAAGCTCTTCTAAGTCTTAAGTACAACTTACTTAGCAGTGCTGAAAAACATTAGGTATTGATTCAGGGCTGTAATACACTTAGCTTTACTGATTCAGGATTGGTTTAAAATAACTAGAATCATGGATGTATCCCTCAGTATATCACAACCCTATTTACTAGTTGAAGTTATTATGAATATTACTGTAAGAGATAATATCCTTCTTCTATTTTTAACCACATTAGTCAACATTTTCCATGATCAACAACGTTTCTGTTTATGAGGAAATCAGTTAGCAATATATATGTATTGTATAAAAGTTTGAATTTGTAGACTAGTGAGATAAAGCCGCACAAATAAATAAGTGGCAAACAGAGTATAACTGTCGGTCCAAGTGATACATGCAGTAATTTAGTAGTGTAGTTTCGTTAAACACGGCCACTGATAATTCTACCTGCCTTCTCAAACACAAATAGGTAAAGGCTGAATTTAAACTGATGAACTGCTGATTAAAGGTTAAGCGGATGAATCAACAAGCCAAAGATCATTCAATAAAAATAACTGCCAAAGTTAGAATTTGCACAAGTGTAGTGTTAACAATCGTGACAAAGTAAATTTAAGCATAAATTTTGTGCACACATGCCTATGAACAGTTTAACAACAACCTAGATTCAAATACTTTTATTAACTATTAGACGAAATTATAAATGCCTTTGTAACAACTGCAGGGTAATAACTTTTCATTAACGTCAGCCTACTAGTTACGCAATTATGTTTACTGAAGTTGAGTAAGAAAAATTATTTTATTAAACAGAGTAACAAACAACAAGACATCAGTACGTACAGACGAATTACGTAATTTCGGGCATAGTAAGGCAAAATCACAACCTTACAATGCGGCTCTGCAAACATACAGTATTTTACTGTGATAAAAGGAACGAGATAAGTGTTAAGTGACGAGAGAAATTTCCATTAGCTGCGTTATTGGAACTATAAACAAAACGGGAAGGAAAATAAGGCACAAAAGTTATACTACTTATTAGTAGACTATACCATCATTCGTAAAAACTTTCAGAATGTTACACTATTTGGAAAAAAGATGGAGAACATTTGACGATTATATAGTTTCAGAAAACGATTTAAGCCAGCCATCGTTGATCTTATCACCTCTTACTTTTTCTATAAATTTGAAGGTGTCCTTCAAGCTATCCTTGGCCACTTTTAGCTTCAGTGGTTTAAGTATGTCGAGCTATTTCATGATATGGTGAGTTACCTATGTCTAATGTTGGTCTAATTGGCACATTGTGCTTATTAACTTCGAGTAGCACATACATTCCAGTTATATTTGTTCCTAAAGGCTTGAGACGTTCGAGGGTTGGGGAAGACAATATATGAATATATACGAAGACTTTCAGTATCTTACAAGATCCCTTGCTACTTTATCTGTATCATCTTTATCATTCGGTAGTTTTTGGAATTTTGTGGCCTCCTGTGGAATATTTTCATCTGGTCGAAATAGTCACCTCTCTAATAAAAACAGCCCAGTCTCTTTATCCGGTCTCGTTATAAGAATATTTGCGTTTGATCGAATTCTCTACAATATGAGTCTTGCTGACGATACTATAGTCAACCGTTCAGTGCTAGTTACCAACAAAATGGTAAATCATTAGACCTCTTTTTCTATTGTCCATCTCAATGATACTATTGCTTTCTTAGTATTTGTTGTTTGTTTATGTTAGAAGCATCAAAAGGGGTGTGTTGTAAACACTCAGGTAATCTGAAGGGGATAATTTTAACCCCTTATGTTTGCAATTACATATAGAGCTATATCACACACAACATATTCATATATCTCAAACTGTTCGGGCTATTGAAACATAAAGCTTTATTAAAACCTGATTATGCTAATTGTGAATGAATTTCGCACTAAACAGTAGATTCCCGACATTTTAGGCTAGTCCAGGTTTCTTGCAAAAGTATATACACCTAATGAGAGCCTGCGTGAATCACTGGGCTACCTAAATTTCCATCCGAGACAATGCATCTTATTTTCTTTAGTTCTTGTCGTTAAAATCGTTCACTTATATCCGTGGATTGCCAAATGTACTCCTGCACATTTTTATTCGGTTTGAAACCAACTATTGGTCAACTCTGGGAGACTAAAGAAATATACTATAAGGGATCATTTTCTTTTTCGGATCTAGCATCACTGCGTCACATTATGTACTGAAGACGGCTGTTTTACTTGAAACTCCTGTATGAAGAGAAAATATTATTCAATAAACTACACTGAAAACTATGCATATTGTATAAACTTATTGTGTATAGTGAAGTTATTATTATTGTCATTATTATACATTCTGCGCACAGAATTTCATCTCGGGAAGAGATCAGCCCTACATCTTCAATCCTTGTAGTGGCAGTGCAGAAAAGTATTAAAATGAATATTTAACTATCGGAGGAAACTAAATGGAATTTGTACTGTTCCATTTTAAACGTATGAGATCCATAAGCAAGGATACAAATTCTGATGTCACACTAGAAATTAAGTCCCTTTGTGAAGAGTTTTTCTACTGTTTTTTATCGATCATAACTAGAGACTTCATCGACTTAGAAAAGGCCTTCACCAGACAGCGTTAACCGAGAAGTAATTTGGAAACTACTTCAACGCTATGGCGTGCAGTGCCCAAGTTTTTACCAACCTCATTCAACAGTTGGATATATGGCAATGCCTGCCATATGCCAGGTGATCCGCAGTGGAAAACTTAGCGAGCCATCTGAGGTGCATACAGGAGTAAGAAAAGGCTGGCTACCTATTATTACCGATGATATTCTTAATTGTGGCGGACTGTATTATGCGTCAGACTGTGCGTGGGAGCAAGGAGTCAGGAATACACTGGACCACCGGCAAGAAGACTCTAGAAGATCTGGATTTCGCAGATGATATATGTCTAGTGTCACACAAATTCGAAGACTTACAGGCAGGCAGGCAGGCAGGCGAAAAGCAACAAACTGGCTGAAGAAGTGGGAGACGAAGACAGGACTCCAGTTTAACATAGAGAAGATGGGAGATGAAGGTGATGAAGATAACCAACATCAACAACAACAACAACCACCAATCACCATCAACGCGAGAGATTTGACAGAGATTAACTCCTTCACTTATCTAGGAAGCATCATTTCAACCACAGGCAGTCGAAAAGGATAAAAATATCAAAACCAAACAGAATCGGAAAGACGAGGTATGCCTTCAGCAACCTGAAACCAGTTTGGAAATCGTCTGCACTCCACGGCATAAGGAACGAGATTCGGGTTCTGTTCAACACAAATGTAGAGTCGGTTGGTTCTCCTAAACGGGTCAGAAACTAGCACAGCGTGTCACGAAAAGGATTTTGAACAGCTCGTTGCAGAATTTGACCAACAGCTGTCTTCGCTCCATAATGAAAGCCAAATGGCCAGAAAGAATTAGTAACAAAAAAACTCTGGGAACAAAAGAACCAAGAGTCGATCGTCCAACAAATATTTAGGCGAAAATGCAGATGGATCAGGCATACATTGCAGAAACCGCTGGGCGACATAGCGTGCCAGGCCATAGCTCGAGTGGAATCCCAGTAGGAAGCGACGATTAGATCATCCTAGGGTTACAAGGATGAGATCGTGTGTGGAAGAGATGAGAGAGTTTGGATAATCGTGAACGCAGATGAAGAGGATAGCAGAAAAAAGAACCAGGTGGAGAGGTGTTGTTGAAGCCCCATGTTCCACTCGAAATCCAAGTGAACAATAGTAATACAATAACAATAATAACTAGGGACATTTTGGCAAACAGGTAAAATAAAACACTTCAGGATTAAGAAAACTGAATACCTGTGGTAATAATGGCTTTTGTAATTGAAAGAATGTGTATTAGTGATTAATATTAGATTACATAAAACTGCGCATAAAAAAGATTCATAGTAGACAACCAAGAGATCATTTTTACAATCACACAGGATTTCCAAGTTGAATGAAAATAAAATACTATTAAGGAACTTTATTTGCGAATTTAACAATCGTATGTATTCGGTCCTGAGTATTTTCTTTTCCTCTGAGTTTATCAGTTTATTTGTTATAAGTAACTAGTGGGATGGCAAAACAAAATAATGGTTTCGAGTTACCTTATTCGAACTTCTAAGTGACTTCATAGCAGATTTGGTTACAAGGCGATATCATTTAGAGGACCGTTTGAAACCAGTAAACACTGGATAGCTGTTTTGCCCCAGATTAGAACTCTTCATCAGCGTGCATTTAAGACTCCATCAGGTGTAAAACGCAGGTTCTTCAGGTTACAAGTAGAAACCAGTAACTATCCCACCATTGGGTTGAATCCAATATCTCGGGACTTTTGACATCTTGTACTATTTATTGAATTCAATTTTTGATTTTCCCGTCGATTGATTGGACCGAAGTGCTCGGTCTCAGGTTGACATGTCGGCTTCTTGTGCAGATGCTTCGACGATGTCCGGGCATTTAGTTAGTATTTAATTGGTGGATGGTGGCTAGCAGTGGAATCCAGGATGCGCATTTCGTCCTATTTGGGACTCGTCATCTGGATGTACCTGCATTTCTCAGTGAGTGATGATGATGTTCCCACCGAGGCTCGAACCCAGTACCCATGGTTTCAAACGACAAAGCGTTATCCACTAGACCACTTGGGCGACGAGAGCCACCTCTTGTGCAACGGGTCATATTAATTATTGAATTGAATTTTTGATTTTCCCGTCGGTTGATTGTACTTGTACTATTATCATCCAATGCCAAAGGTGAATGTTAGATGTGAGAGCAGATTTGTTCTAAGCCTAGACTACAGATATTTTTTCAGAAGTAAAATATAAACGAAGGTAAAGATGTCTTTTTAGAGGGGTGATGTGGTTTGAATACTCATGAATACTGTGAAAATCAAAATAATTTTTAGACATGTACAACAACGATTCTCTAAAAGGAAACTGAGCATTTGATTTGACATATGGTGAGCTCATGAATATTGGGATGGTTAACAATAGGTGTACATGAATAAGTGATAAACTTTATCAAAGTGATAAGTATGTAGGTGTTGAAATGTATGTAAACTTAATCTTTTTTCCACTTGTACATTTATATGTTAGAGTGTCAGTACTTCAGTAACCCTGTTTCCGTAGTTTAAAGGTTAAGCAAACATATTACATTTTCTTTAATTTCTGAGTATCAACAATTAATTTAAAATTTTTATCTTACAGTAAGTATATTGCGTAAAGTTTACATAAGAAGAACATTAACAGTATAATATTCGAGTTTATAAAGCATACTAGCTCATATTTTATTGATTTTAACTAATACTTTGTAGTGATTTCCTTTTTTGTTTCTACTTTGCAGCTATTGTTCATGGTAGTGTGTATATTTACGATAATCCTGGCCTCCATTATTTACACGATAGCATCTACTGGACTGAATTATTCGAAAGTGTGGGGGAACAGAATTTTTTTAATCAAAATTTGATTAAAACAGACAGTAATAATGATAAAAATGTATCAATAGACCTTCATTTATATGAATACAATCCACATGACCATGAACCTGAACCAGTACCAACGACTGTAAAGTCAAGTAAGACAGTTATAATGTATATAAGAACAATACTAACATATTTAAATTTATTTTGAATCTTCACAAATGAAGCTGAAATGGAACTAAATTTTCAGCGTAGAGCTTTGCGCAAAAAGTGAACTACTTCAAGTTGCAACATATTCACACAAAGGTAAAAAACTATAAGCGAAAAATAACACAAAAAATATAATAAACGAAAGCGTATGACATAGAATTTAATGGATATGATAGTTTCTGAAATGTGAATTCGTCTCACCCGTCAAGACAGTTTTGAGCCATGTCACTAGTAGTCACTTGCCACTGACTCTTGACGTTTCTAGGATCCCAGTCAGACAGTTTACACTTCCCTGCATGGCTCGTTTCTTCGCATTGCGATATGAAACAATCTGAAGCATTCGGTCACTTTACAGCTCAGCAAAATAAAATTACATTCCTTGATGGTTTTAGTACAATTAAGATGAATGTCAAGAGGATTGATTTTGCCGCCTGGTGTTTTCGTGGGAGAACAGCGGAATTATAATGGTTTGCTGTCTATGTATCAAAATGTCCATTAATTAGTCTGTAACATTACGGTGCTTTATTTGTGCTTATTATGAAACTGTAGTTCAGTGAAAATGATACTTATGAAAAAGAAATACCAGGAAGAGTGCTTAATATGAATTATGTCATGTTGTGAATTGAAACAATTTTTTTACTTGAAACTATGGTTTTTTCATCCATTTCCTTTCTAACGTTATGTCTCCACATTGTCGGATAAGTGAATGGGGTTATGCTATCTCTTGAACGTACAGTTGTTTACGGATCTACATCTTAAAACAGAACAAAGAGAGTGACTTAATATAAAGACAGTTGTAACAAAATAAACAAGACAGTGTTATTAATGTTAAGATAGTTCACAAGAAAGATATAATGAAGTATTTATAACTTTGGAAGTTGTCAGGTGTCAGTGCATCTAGAGTAGTGTCTCGGCACTTGTGTAGGTAGTTTTAACTTCGTCTTCCTCATTAATTTATTGGCAAAACAAACTATTTTTATCACTAGCATAATTTGACCTTTATCAGTGATAAGATTAGACATTTCCACATAATACTTTCAGTCTTTTTTAGAATAACTTGCAAGTCCCACTATCTGTTTTAAATGTTCATAGTGGCGTATGTAGTTTGCTGTTTGTTTTAGATTAAGTTAAGTGTAAGTAAATTAAGTTACATCAGTTGATGATCTGTAAATGTATCAGTTATATTATCTGCTAAACATTAACTTACTTTCAATAATACTGACACTTAACCTGAAGTAGTGGTGAGTTAGATATGAAGAACGCTGAATTGATAATTTTTATCACTAGGTGATAACAAACTTAAAACCATTTGAAAAGCCGAGATAATGGTTAATATATTCCATCCCAACTCGAGAACCTTCGATAGTATACGCCTACAGTGCGATGTAAAAAGTTGTATTTCACACCAACAACTCTTTGTGTTTGCATGTGATCTTCTATGCGTTGGTATCTATCTTCAAATCACCTGCGATTTGATTTCAGAGGCTATAAGGTAGAACATTTCATTGAAACACTCGTCTAGACCTTTTATCAATAGAATTAATCATCAACTGACAGTTACATGCAGACTTTGCCAAGGATATAGGTGTCTGCTTCCAGTCAGTACAGAACTGACATTTTGCATGTTATACAGTAAGGTAAGAAACTCGCTAAGCATTTTAGACACTGAACTCCGCTATACAGGTTTAATTCTAAGTCAGTGTTTTAATTATTATATCAAATGCTGTATATTATAGACAAAACATTACAATTTGTTGTTCCGAACATTGGTTTATTTGATGATTTTAAATAATACTCATTATTTAAAAAAAATGCAAAGTGCTTTTAAAGAATGAATCCGGCGTCTGTGGGATATCCTTACTTTAGATAAGTAGCAATGTTTCTGTAGTAGACGAATTATTCACTGATTGGCATGCATTGAAGAAACGCTTCATAAATCAGAACAAAATAAAATGTGAAAAAAATGTAACATGAAAAATAGAAATAATAAGCCGATGGGAATTGTTAACCTCAATTAAATAATTTCTTACACGCTGTTATGTGTCAGTATGTTTATATATGCTTGAACATATCATTGTACGGTAAATAATCTAGTTTCCAGTTCATAGATAGTTGATTAAAACTTATGTAGAAGATTTGGTAAACAGTGGTTCTGTGGGATTTCTGTGTGTGGAGTTAAGCATTAATAGTGTTATTCTGTAAGCAACTCAAGGATGCAGGTTGCTTTTGTAGTTGTTATTCAATAGCTTGGCGTATCTTCAGCTTGGCAGAAACTTCCACTGTCTTGGGTATTTACTGCAGTTAGCTCACTGTCAATCAACCTCTAGGATTAGATGTCTCAATCAATTCATACATCAACTTCATTAGAACCTGAAAAAGTAAATGTTAAATTCTGTAACTTCATTATTCTATGAGATAAGTTACAGAAACCACAGACGTACTCAAAGACAGAAATAAATTCCAGTTAATACAAGTAATTACTGCTTCTCCAGGACATTTTCGTCTAATATAGTTTCTTTGTATTTTCTGCTCTACCTTTATGTTTTTTTTCAAGAATTGTGGTAACTTGAACTGCTGTAGATTTTTTTGTGTGCTAATTTCTAAGTTGAAAAATTCAGTTCAGTTTAACACAGTGTCTCAAATTACAAACCTAAAAGTCCTCGAAATACTCAGTTGAGATTCAAACATATAAATTTCAAAAAGCAAAACTGTGTTTATTTAAGTCAATGGCCTATGAAATTATACATTGCTGGTAAACGTAGTATAGAAGAAAGTAGAAATTATAGGTCTTAGACTGCAGTTCACTGAAAAAACTGTCTTTGGGATTATAACGAAAAGTGAGAATTGACAAACTGATTGTCTTAAAATTGAATGTCTTGGTAATTTTACTAATTTCAAGTTTCGTGGTAATGTCACAATGGAGGTAAATTCAACACTCAGTAATCATAGGAATACAGGTATCTGAGTTGTTTGTCTTTCTCTTAATTTGAAGGCATCATGCATTCTCGAGACTGCTTAAAGAAATCGAATCACCACTCTTCACTAATTACTTGGATTAACCTTAAAGAAGGTTATTTGGAAAATACAAAATGTAAACATAAATTAATTTGATATTTTATTTTCCACTTCTATTTTTAAATTTTACTAATCAAACTGAAAATACAGGAGTGTCATAATCACAGAACTACTCCTTCCGCTGACAGTGATTTTTTTCTGTCATAAACTTGTATGAATCCCAGAGGCCATAAATGTTTCACTCACATTTTGGTTTTCAATGACGTTTTCTGGGCAGTAATTGCCTCTAAGAATTAAGTATGGCCAGCAGAGTTTACTTTCAGAAACAAATCTTTCATGTGCCACTGTATTAAAAAGAACCATGACGTACGGATGAACTGTCCAGTCTCCTGACTTCGAAAACATCAGATTTATTCTTCACTAGTATAACTTGTAGTTTTAATATTTTGATATATGAGAAAAAAACATCAAGAATGTTTTTTCCAACAAAAAGTAATATGAGTTCATGTAGAGAAAAGAGTTACACACATTTTTTGGTAAAACGTTTGTATTTTGTACTCATCTGTCAACGAAATAGTATATACATGTTTTCCTTGATTGACATTTGACTGTATTTATGATTATAACTTACGTCGATTGAATCAACTAAAGTGGTATTTTGTATGTAGCTGAAGTTGTAAATATGTACAGATTCAACTCTGTTTACTGAACAAAAATATAAGGGAATTCAACAAACTATTATCTATATATATGTATATATATATATGAACAAAATTCTAAGTTTATTGTATTGTTGAAAACAAAATTCCTAAAGTTATTATTCCGACCAAATTCTGTCACATAAATATTCCCCAACAAAGTTCCTTTTTTAATATCTCTATCGTTGGTGATGTGTTTATTGAGGTTATAAAGAAATGATGCGATAAAGTGGGTGGTGTGTCATGTGCTATTGATAAGATTTATCGGTAGTGTGTAACGAGATGTCCATCAGAGCAAAAATATCAAATAGAGGAGTCATAGACTTGACGTAAAAGAGGGAAAATCAAGCAGTGTTGTTGCGAAAAATTGGAGACACGATAAAAAGACAATGAAACACTATACGAATGACAGAAGTAACACAACACGGAAGATCTGTACAAATGAAGATTTTTAGATAAGGCGTACATAATTTCGCTGTATGTAGATATCAAATTCCAAATAAACATTCCGTTTCGAAGTTTCTTGTCTTCTAACGTTACAGTGGCACTGGTCAGACTTTGGCATCAAAATATCTGAAAGCCTTATATTTCTCAGCTTGCTAGTATGAATCCGTGTTTGGAATGTGAAACATACTTTTCCTATTGATTTAGATGGGCTTAATTGTGCGAAAGTCATCTGAATGACAATAACTCATTGTTTCGCCCCCGTATAAGCAGAGTTATCTTCTCACTTGTTTTGTGATAACCTGCAGTGAAATCGGAGACTTGCGTTTTAGTTCATTCAGTGCATTCCTGCATCCCAATGAGTGATGTACTTCTACTATTACTTGAACCCAGAGTTCATCTTTCAAGATGACAAAGCCTTAAACGCCATACTGATGGTTCCATGTTACTTTGTTTGTTGGATTTATCCCATAGTAAAATGGTATTATTTGATGGATGACATTTTGAACATAATTTATTATTCATAGTCGCATCAATTCGAACTACTTAACTCCAAAATTTTATTTTTACAGTTCTCTTTCTTCATCCCTATCTCTCATTTAGATGCCTCGGACAAGTGCTGAATCATTTCTTTTGCATAAATTTTCAATTGATTTAATAAATGAAGCTTCTGCTATCAAACTAGTTCTCCACGCTAATATATCAGAGTTTAAGACTATCATCTCCCCCTCCCCCCGCAACCTATTGTGATTTTGTGTGTAACTGTATGCAATTCAACAGATGAGCTA